TTCCCCAGCTGCCCCCACCGGGCCTCCTCAGGGCTCTCAAGCCCCTCCATGAACTCACTCCCCTGGTCACTGATGCGTCCGGGGGTGGGCGCTTGATTGAGCTGGACTAATGATTCCCTTCTCTATTTTTTTTTTTTTATTATTAGGAGATCAGTGAGAGAGTCAGAACAGTCTCTTGCTGGTGGTAGGATGTGTGAAGTATAAAACTATTGGGAGCCATGTGTGAAAAAAAAAATGTGTGGAAAAAGCTCGTCTCTAGTGAGAGAGAATGAAAGCAATTCAGAGAGAGAGGAGAGGCGAGAAGGGGCGAGAGACCCTAGGGGCAGGAGCCCTTGGTTCCAGTTCTTTCTGACGCTGCATCCTTGCCCTCCCGCTGTTTGCTTGTTGAAACTTGCCTCAGATTCTAAGGACGACACAATTCCTTTTATGCCTAAGCTTGTTTGAATCCAGTTTCTCTCATGTGCAACCTAGATAACCCACTGCCTCTTCCTTTTATCTTTGAAGTTACTCAGAGGCATCTACACAGAGTTTCATTTTTAACAACCTCCCACCTGCCTTCAATTTAATTTCCTTTAGAAAACACCGGCCGTGAAATCTGCACTTCTATAGTCTAGGATGGCTTTTCTGTCCCTTCTCTATTTTGTAGGCTCCTCCATGAAAAAGCAGGTTTCCATGGTCAAAGGCATTTGGGAAATAATGCTGCGTGCAATATTCCTATCTCGGAGATTCACGATGCAGCATCTTAAAGAGTTCCTGTGGTGAGTAATGTGTTCAACTTTGTCTAACCAGGGCTCTCAGATCCTTTCTATTCCTGTTACACGTAATATCCCAAACTCCCGACATTCCACAGGGCCCATTTTGGGGTCCACGTGGGACTGAGATTACCCTTTTAAAAATGACATATTTCCAGGGTGTGCTGTGCAAGGATGTTTGACCAAGATGGCATCCTGGTGTGGGGCATTGTCAGCCCAGAGGAAAGGACAGTTTTGAACATTTTTAATGTCACCATGTACTCTCTAAGCAAGAGCCCATAGGGCTGGGTCCACCCAAAGGGGGTGCCTCTTCCTAAGTCACTCATTGGTGCCAAAGGTCCTGTGAGTCAGAATTACACCCAGAGGAGTGGTTCCCTCTTCTTTATATTTCTGAGGGATGCAGCTGCCCACGAGGCAAGGCAAGAATGGATCAGATTCTGCTTTGAGTGGAACGAGACTTCCAGATGTTGAGGTGCCTCAGGACCCCCGGTATAGGTATGGGATATCTGGAATATTCTCTGCCTCTGGGATAGTTTGACTATCCCCCCATCTACTGGTCATCATCATCATCCTTCGCTGTCTATAGTTCACAGAGAGCTCTCATTTGATCCCTTCAGCCACCTTATAAAGTTGATGGGTTTTATTTGTTTTCTTGATCTCTATTTTACAGATGAGGAAACTGAGGCTCATTTACTCGTTCTCAGTCCCATGCTAGCAAAGGAAGAATGGGGCATTTGGTCTTGGGTCTGACTCTATAATGCCACTTTCCTGTCCTACCACGCTGCCCCTGTCATCAAGCTGTCTGTGGCCACTCCCTCAACAGCCATATTTCAATTCCTTTCTTCTCTATCATCACCCGAATATCTCCTATAAGGAGTTGGGTTCCTTTCTGTGGGGATTGGGAAGAGGTAAGAATGCCAAGGAAGAAAGATGGCATCTATGGGGCCATGCAGCTTGCCAGATCCAGAAGACTGCCTCCCCCCTGAGGACCATGGTGGGGTTACGCTGGCTGTGCCCACAGTCCTTGGGAGCAATGACTAAGCAGAAAGATGTGGCCATGCCTCCTCAGGTGGCCTCATGGACAAGCGTCCCTCACCTGCCAGAACCCACCTCTCAACCTTCAGCATCCTCACTCCCACCCACATGAGGCTCACCCACCACCGATCCAGGAAGCAGCAGCTTTGAGGTGATCAGAGTCCCCAAGAGGCGCTATTGCTCTGACTTCTCAGCCTGAAGAAAGGTCAGTGGAGGAAGCCTGGATATAATGATTCAGGAGGCCTGGTTGGGTGGCCTGGGTGAAGTCACCTTAACCTCAGCCTCCTTCCCTGGCAAATGGGGGTAAGGAGCCCTCCCTATCACTCAAGGCTGTAGTGAGGGGAAGGCAAGGAATGAGGAATATTATGGCCCCGGAGGAATGTGGGAGGTGGCTGCCAAGGCAAAAACCCAAAAAGCCAACCAGCACAGGCTGAAACTCTGCTCTCCAATATGGTCACCACTAGCCTCCCGCAACAATTTAAATTAATAAAAATGAAATGATATTAAAAATTCAGTTCCTCATTCTCACTGGCCAAATTTCAAATGCTCGCTTGTGGCTACCGTATTGGACCACGCAGATAGAGAACATTTCCATTGCTGCAGAAAGTTCTATAGGACAGCACCGATGAGTGTCTTCTCTAAGCAGCTTCTTCTGGCCCCTGTGCCTACTTTAACCCCCTCCTCCTTCACACAGCCTGTCTCCCCAGCTCCCCAAACTCAGAGGAAATGGTTTAGTGAACGGTGCTGGTCTGGCCCCCGGGGAGAGCTCAAGCTTTGGGCTGGAGTTCTCCTGTGTCCCCAAGAGGTGATAAGCTCTGGAAAGGCAGGTCTTTGTCTTGTGTCTTCGGCATCCCTGACAATGCCCTGCATGGTGTTAGGCACCGAAGGTCCTTAATCATGATTACAGATTTGTCCTGAATTGGTACAGCTCGCGGTCCACTAGGGCTGACTGGAGGTCAAGGAGCTTGGTCAGTACAGCGTGGCCAGGAATTCACTGCATGACTTCCAGTACATTATGGCCTCCTGCCTGGCCTCGGTTCTCCCTCCGCAGGGAGGAATAGATGATCTCAGACATTCTTTCCTGCTCTGACCATCCATGGCTTCAGGAGCAAGAATTTCCTGGGGGAGGCCCTGTGGTTGGAGCCCATTCTATCAGCGGCCAGCGTTCAGACCCAAGGCCAGACCCTGCTGTGTGAAGACGTCTGTGATGGAGGTGCCTGGCGATATGAGCGTGAGTGTGGTATGTGAATGTGTGTGTGTGTCTATACACGTTCTTTCACTCCTGAATCAAGGTAACAGGGTGGGAAATCCAACATAACCATGGAAAGGCATAACTAACTTCCAGTCTGGCCATGGGTCTCCAGGACTCACTTTTATTTCCTCATTTCTCTCCTTTTCCACCAGCGGTTTAATAAGCAAATATGTTCTCTTGTCCATAAGGCAGAGCTTCTCTTTGGGGACCAAGACCCACCCCCCAGGATCCAGGGTTGTATATAGGCCCCCATGGTCACTGGACACAGGCTGGCCTCAGGAATGTTCTGGAACGCCAGGTTGTGTCGGCCAGCTCTCAAGGATGTCAGAACTTGGCACTAACATAGATCTTCATCTATTTGCATCTGGGGCTGGAGGGGAGGGGCAGTGAATTTAGAAAAGTGGATGGGACAAACTAAGTGTCCCCTGGCAAGCGGTCGGCAGGGTTTGGAGGGCCTGGAGCCTGAGGCGAGCTGTCAGAGGGCTGGAAGGACGCGTGTGGTGGCCATTTCGCTTTTCTGTTGCAGCATCAAGAGGACTCACTGTAGCATGAGGCGAGTGGCCACGCTCAGCTCTCCCCAGCAGGGTGCCCAAGCCAGAGACGCCAGGAGCAAGGGAGAGCCGGGTGGTGGGGGGAGAGCTCGAGCTTGCAGTCAGTCACCCCTGGGGCAGAAGCCCTCGCAGCCCTCAGAAGCCCGGAAGGCTTGGACATGGTGAGGGCCAGACCTCAGCATTGTGGGGAACGGCGGCAGGAATCACAGGGTTGGGGCTGCGAGAAGTGGGGGCTGGGCTGCTTGGCCTCCACCCCCTCCTCAGCTCCAGCCTCAGGGCCCAGGGCCTCCTTCCTGCTGGAATATTCTCTCCCCCCCACCCTACCTTGTGGCCATTTCCAAGGCCCATCTCTTGACCTCCCTCCCCTCTCCTCCCCGTTATGCCCTGACTATGGCATTAATCTTTCTTTGGGTCTCCTTAGCATCCATGGTCCCAGTCTTGGGCATCTCTTTACTTTCTCTACCTGGTAAAATTCTTGAGGCTGCCGCATCCCTAACCTTCACTCCCACCTCTGCTTCCGTCATCACATGACCTTCTCCCCTGTCTGCCCTTCCAACACCCCTCTTATGAGGACCCGCCTGTATAATCCAGGGTAATCTCAAGACCCTTGTCAAATACCCTATGCACCATGATGCTTGCCCTGAACTCCCGCCCTACCTACCCCCCAGGAGGAGACCACCATCCCTCCACAGCATTGGCGACACTGATGTCACGCTGGACTGTAATCATGTGTCTCCTCCTCTAGGCTGTGATCAAGGATTCAGTCTTTTTCACCTTTATGTCCTCACTTTGCTACAAAGCCTGAGATAGTATAAATGGCTAATGAATTGTTTGCTGAATGAATAAGTGAATAAATGAACGCATGAAATCAGCTTTGGGGCACGTACGCACAGGCCCCAGGGGCTCACGCAGGCATGGCGCCAGGTCCCCGAGTCAGTGCCCTTTGGTTTTCTCACACTCCACGGCCTTCCCCCTTCCTCCAGGAGGAGGAGCCTGCTCTTCTTTCCACTGGGCCCCTGAGCTGGGTTGGGATGTTCCGGATGGCTGGGAGAGGAAGGGGCTGGTCCATCCCTTCTTCTTCTGAAATCAAGCCACCCACCTGCCCAGCCATTCCTTTTAATTCAAACCTTCCTCCATGCTTCCTCCCCAACTCCTCCATCACCCCACCTGCCTTCCCTCTCCGTTGTTCCCATCATCTGCCCTCTCCCACCTAGTCCAATCCGAGGAAACCAAGGGCATTGCAGTCCATGCCAGGGACACGCTTACCGTTCACCAGCATGTCACCAACCCCGTGATGGAGAGCAGCCCTACATAGGGTGGGCCGAGACAGCCCTCCCTAGGCAAACCAGCCTTTCAGAGTCCTACACCCATCCGCCATCGCCCGCCGCCCCATCCCTGTGCCCGGCTCACCTGTCTCTCCCCAGATGGGCAGGTACTCATCCTGCTGAATGTCCAGCATGATCTCCAGCCCGTTGCCTGTCCCCCCCTTAACTGTGGTGAGCAGAGGTTTGCCGTCCTCGCCTGAGTTAAACATGTAACACTTCCCATATTTTGTAAACACCTGAGGAGAGAAGAGAGAGGGAGAGAAGCATATGGGTGACTTCAGGCTGGGCTCCAGAGATTGGTGAGACCCCAGAAATCCCACAGCGGGCCGGAGTCCTCATAGCCCATCACAATCAACCCCTTTTGGGGACCAACGATTCCTCACCCTGGCTAATGGTCTGACTTCTGCCAAGTGGGATTCTGGCATCAAAGAACAAATCTGGACACACTTTGGGGTTACTTGCAATGGGATCTGTTCTCTTCTGTCTCTGTACACTTCCCCTGGGCGGTCTTGTCTACTTCCAAGTGTCAATCATCGTCTATAAGCCCTTGACCCTGCAACCTGCACCTCCAGGCCCCAGCTCTGTTTTGAGCTCCAGACACACAGATCCCACTGCCTGATAAGCATGACCTCGGGGGACCCACATGCTCCGATGCTCAGCATGTCCGGGTGGGAACAAATCTTTAGGCTCCCTGCCTCCCTGAGTGGCTCTCCCACACCTACCCCAGGAATAGCATTGCCACCTGCCAAGGGGCTCAAGCCAGATCCTCAGAGTGGCTGTCCACTCTTCCTCCTCCTCACCACCATGTCCAATTAACCAGCGAGGCCTGTCAACACTGTCTCTACATCCGTCTTGCATTGTGCCTTGTGTCCTCTGCCGCAACTTAGGACCCAATTCTTTCTTGCCTGGGCTGCTGAAGTTTCCTAACTGGGCTCCCGGATTCCAGACAACCTTCCCAGCCCATCCTCTAAGTTAACTGGCTCACTCTTTCTGAAATGCCAACCCAGTCTTCTTAATCCTGTGCTTAATATCCATCAGCTCCCTACCCCGCCCCCAATGCTCAGTTCCCTAAGGTTAACACCCAGGCCCTCCAGAGCAGCCTTCTATGATGCCCTCTGCCTACTGCATCCTACTGCTTCCCATCTGAGTCCACAGGAATCCGCTAGAAGGTAAGTTCTGCGGGTTCAGGGACTACCTCTGCTTGTTCACTGATGCACCCATCCCTAGTGGCAAGCACAGTGCCTGGCACATGGGAGTGCTCCAGAAATGTATGTCAAATGAATGAATGAGTGAATGAGTGAGTGAGCGGGTGGGTGGAGCCAGATCAAACAACTTGCAGCACCCTAGATGTACCCTGCTGTTCACACACTTATGGCTTTCTCTTTGCTGCTTCTGCTGCCTAAAGCTCCTTTCATTCCTCTTTCTGCCTGGGCACCCTCTAGCTCCCTGCCTGGGCACCCTCTAGTTGTTCTCCAAGACTGGATTGATGCAACTCCTCCTCCAGGAAGCCTCCCTGAGCCCCAGGACCAAGCTGGGTTACGCCCCTCCTCACCATTCCCCTTGCTCCTTCACCACGGCAGCCATCACATGGCTCTGAACAGCTGGGCCTGCATCTCTCCTGAACTTGACTCTGCCTTTCGTCTCTGAATCCCACTGTTTAAGACATTGCCTGGCACACAGTAGGCGCTCAGGCCACTTTTGCTTGATGAAAGCGTGATTACAAAGATGTTGTGTGATGCTGTGGGAGGAGCCCAGGTCGAGGGATGCAGAGATCTCGGTCCAAGTTTGATGTTGCCACTTACTAGTTGTGTGAACCAAATAAACGCTCCAGGCCTCAATGTCCCCATCTGTAGGATGGGGGTTCTAGTCCTTGCCTTCGCTACCTCTCAAGGTTATTGAGGGGATCAACTGAGGTAAAATATGCAAAAGTGCTTTGAAAACGATAAAAGCTTTCTACAAATGCTATGGGCTATCATGATTACATAACTGCTTTGGAACCTTGAGCTGAAGCCAAATTACATCTGGCAGAATTGGCTGGGAGGGAGCCAGGCTAGGTGTGCTGGATTCCTGCAGCCTCCGGGATTTGGGACCAGGTCGCTGCCCTGACGGTGCCCCACTGTGTGGTCCCCTCCTACAGCACAGAGGCTACAAGGAAGCTCTCTGCTTTCCTATCCTTCAGTGCAGGGGCAGGCAGATGGTGGGGCTGAGCCCGGAGGCTGCATTTCCCATGCAGATCTTGATGGCTGGATGGAAAGAAGGGAGAGGGACCTCTACCACGAGTCAGGGACAGTGTCAGAGGCTTACCTGCACTACCTCATTTCACCCTTGCATCCTGTGACCATGGGTATTGCTGCTTCCATTATGCCGAGCAGAAAACCAAGGCCCAGAGAGATTAAGGGACTTACCTAAGGTCACACAGCTATTAAGTAGAGAAGCTGGGATTCAAATCCATGTCTGTCTGATTCTAACACATCTGCTCTTTCTGGATGTGCTGTCCTGTGTTTTTGTCACTGGGACATTTCCAAGCATACGCTGTCCCTCTCTACCTTGCTTTTTCCATCAGCCAATCAATATTCATATGCATGTGCTCCTACTATGTGCAAGGATTATGGGGATTGCAAAGAAGTACAAGCCCTACTACCTGCCTTCACGACCTGTAGGAAGGGCCAGTAAAACACCAGGCTCCACATTTTTCTCCACTGTCCAACATGGCTCTGAGTCCCTGGCCAGCTGCACTATTTCAGGGCAGCCAAGGCCTACTTTCCCAGCTTCGTGGTGGGTGAGGACAGCTGGAACGCGATTTTTCAAAGAAGCGAGCTTTTTCATCACTATTGTATATAGCAACTGAGCTTGGCTAACGAACTTGTCCCCTAGAGTGATGCTCTCGGGGACCACTGTAATGAACAGATAAGAGCATTTTATAGTTAGCACATCCATCGCAAAGGGCTGAACACCTCTGGAATGACTTCTGAGGTGCTCCAAGAGAGCTTTTCTTTGTAGACACACTATCTTGTCTCCAAAATTGCTGATAATATTAATTTGCCTATCTATATGAAGATATTTGTGAGTAAAAGAACATTTCAGCTTAGTATCAGATTATTGCAAATTCCACCTCCTTCCTCCCCACCATTTGGTACTTGAACTTCAGAATATTGGGCTGGGGTTAGAATGTGGTGTCTACTCCTGGAGTCAGCTATGAGCCCAGCCCTGCCACCAACATGCTGTGTGGCGTTGATAAAGGTATGGACCCTCCCTGAGCTTCCGAGGATGATGACGAGATGCGAGAACTGAAACGGTCTTAGAGATCATCTCGTCCACCCACCTGACTTACAGGTAAGGGAATGGAGACCCAGGAGTGAGGAGGTGACTCGCCCAAGGCTACACAGCAAGGAAGTGTCCATCTGGGACAATGACTCCTAGTTCAGCCTGTTCCTGCCTTTATACCAGCCTCCCTCAGTTTCCCCACTTACAAGAGGAGACGGAGGATCTAAGGGATTGCGGCCTTCAGCTGGTCATTGACTGAGTGCTTGCTCTGTGCCAGCCCCCAGGCTGGCACCCCTGAAGTCTTCCCTATAGAGGCAGGAGCAGACAGGTCCTTGAGGTGGGAGTGATGGAGACACGCTCCCCATCCTCAATGACCGCCTTGCCAGACCTAGTACTCATTCTAGGCCCAGGTGGTGCTCCTGCAGGTGCCCTCAGTGTCAATCCCGTCTTTCCTGCCCCCTCCCCCTGAGGGTGGGTGCTGGGGAAGGGCAGACACTTGCCAGGTGTGCACTGTTGCAGATCAGAGGGTGGTTGGGGGTGGTGACAAGCAGAGTGGTGGGACAGGGAGCTGGAGGGGGACTGCAGCCATGTCTGAGAGAAGGCCAAGCTCTTTGCCAAGTCAGGACCACCATAAACAGGCCTAATACCTTTCTGCAGCTTCCTGGCCCATTTGGAATAAAGCTCCAGATCCTCACCGGGCCCGGCATGGTTCCACCTCGTCTCCCTTCCTCTCTTCTCTCACCTGCTTCAAACACACTGGAACGTGCGTCAAGCTCTTCCCGCCGCAGGGCCTTTCCACATCCCGTTCCTTCTGCCTAGAATGTTCTCTCTGCACCCTATGCCTGGCCAACTCGTGATCAGGCCTCAGCTTACATACTACTTCCTCAGAGTCTTGCTTGACCACCCCAGGCCCCTGCTCCCAGCCTCCATTCACACTGGGGCCTCTTATTTGCAACCTCACACCCCTGTATGATTCCTTTACAGTGCAGATCAAAGTGTGTAACTCGAGCGTCATTCGTGTGATTATTGGACACGTCTTCCACCAAACTGTAAGTTCCGAGAGGGCAGGGATGGGGTCTGTTTTGTTGCACGAATGAATGAATGAATGAATGGCTCCAAGGTGCTGCTCCCTGCCACCCCCTTGCCCACCTCCAGGAGGCGCCCTTTGGTGCTGGGCTGCCTGGCAGGAGCTCATGCTGAACTCTTGTCCAACTCCCCTTCCCGCCCCTTTCTCTGCTGTTGCCTTCTTAACCTCCCGCTTAATTGTATCTAAGCATTTTTGCACGCTTCTCCATGAAGGTATTAGAGGAACTAATCCTTTCAGGAAGGAAGACAGTTTACCTTTGTGGGGGTGGGAGAAGGGGCTCAGAGCCCTGCCTCCCTGCCCACGCCCCTGAGCCCGCCGCTCCTGCCTCGCTTCTCCGAGAAGATTATTTTCCTCTCTGCTCAACATCAAAAGCCTGAGAACTATTTACACACAGCACAGTTTTGCTACAAACTTGGGACAAGATGCAGCTCTTCTTCCCCATTTTGGGGCATAATGACATGTAAGTGCAACACACACTTCCAATTGACGCCTTATCGACCCCAGCCAGAAAATACAATTTATTTAAGTGCAAACTGTCGGGCCCAGCTCGCTGCTTCTTCAGACCTGCCATTTTTCCAGGCATTTCTCTGCTCTCCCGGTGAGTGCTGACAGCCCCATCACGGATGGCAGGGCTGGATTTGCAGGGTTGAGGAGAGTCTAGAATTGCCTTTAGTTGGATCGGTTTGTAAGAATTCAAGGGGCACATTTCAAAGCTTGGTCTCCAGGACCGATGGGGGGATTCTGATGTAAAATGGGCCCCATGACCCTCCCATGACCATTGCTAACGTTTGCATGGTGCATCACAGTTTAGAGACTGTCTACATACAGCTTCAACTTTCTCCGTGGCCGCATAAAGTTGGAGGGAAGGAAACTAGCAATTCTTGA